ATGACGTCACGGAAGCCTCATGCGATTGTCGGCGCTCGGCGGCCGTTTGGCGGTCGCGGCGGGCGGTGCCGGCTCTGCGTAGTTGGTGGTGGCGTGCGACACGCTCCGTCGTCACCGATGACGTCACTCGGGGTCTGCTGTCTCCCCGGCGCTCCGGGGCGGTCCCGGCGGCCAGGGCTCGGTGGCCGGCGCCCCGGGGCGGTCCCGGCGGCCAGGGCTCGGCGGCCGGCGCCCCGGCGGCCAGGGCTCAGCGGCCGGCGCCCCGGCGGCCAGGGCTCGGCGGTTGGCGCCCCGGGGCGGTCCCGGCGGCCAGAGCTCGGCTCTCCATAAAGTTCCCGCCACAGTTGTCGCGTTTCAGAGAGCACATGTGGGTTTTAAAGATGAAAAACGGGCTCAAACTCACCCCGGTTGGAAATACGAGTAAACCGGCACGCTATGGTTACAGCGCCGAGGGTTATGCCAGGAGAGGTTAATTGCCACCTCTAGACTATTCCGTCGTGCCGTCATGTCTGCACACTGTGGAAGAATTATGCAGACTCACGGCATAAACAATAGTAGCTGTTCTTGCAGTCCAACCGGGGAAGTTTCATACCAGCACGTAACGGTGCTTTGGTCGTCGATTACCAAAAATAATTGTTTCCGATCCGTTGTCATTGCGATTATTTCCCCCATATAAACGACCGTAAACTTGGAAATGCTAAAGCAGGCTCGCCGCACTCGCTACCACCGAATCCGTGCGCCATGTGTCCTAAGGGTACGCTGCAGAATACCATAACTTTTTACGTTAACACACTGAATAATTGCACTAGGTCTTAACGACTCTTGTCACATTATTGAAGGTTGCTGGATTGTCGCACCGATGGGCGTTGTCCATCTTAACCATAGTCTACAGATGATCAGGACCCGTCATCGATAAATTTCGATGCCAGCAGCGTCGGCAACAGTTCGGATGACTCCCCAACCCCCTGGACAGTCATCCAGCATGATCGCTTCACGGAACACGACCGGCCGGGTACGGACGTGAAGTAATGTTTTCGAGTCATACATGCTGCGCTTTACGGTCGTAGTGTGCCAGGCGGACTTTCATGACCCCACATCTTGAGAGTATTTAACGACGACAGGTTTACGTAACTCTTATGGCAAGGGACGTGGCAGCACCCACGCCACCTGCGGTGGAGGATACCGGACCACAGGGGTACACGCTCCGCTTCTGGACATCACATTCCGCATTATATTCCACATTCCACCTCCGGGGTATAAGCGTCTTTGTTCACTGGTGGCGAACCCGCACACCGGCCTGGATCCCGTTTGCTCGCTGCGGGGGAGGGGGAGGAGGGGGCACTGGACTCACGAAAGGTCACGGTCGTTCCCCGGTGCCGGGCCGGCAGCCGAAGCCGAATGACACATGTGAACCGTTACAATAACGGATCACCGCCGGCATGGAACTCCTCAGCAGCGTGCCTGGTACTGGAAAGTGTGGGCTGAAGGCAGCTGGTTAATGCCAGCCGGCAGGTGTGCCATTCGCGTGTTGGACTGGGGTGATTTGCCATGCTAATTCGCTTGACAAATGAACGGTTTCGAATCAACGCTACTGGGCAATCGTATGGAGCCGTCGCTATGACCCCCTGTGAACACAGACCGTGAACAAAACCGCAGTTTTGTTCACGGTCTGTGAACCCCTGTGAACAAAACCGCAGTTTTGCGTCACTGGAAGCGGCCACGGGAAAATGTTGCTGTTTTATGGAGCCGGAAGCATTACCGAGCGCAGCGGGCAGCGGCGTGCTTTGATTTTGCCTTTGGATGTCTGAGAGGTTCCAGCGCTTCGAACGGAGTGCATCCTGTGGCCTCCATTATGTCCCGGTATTTACCATACATAGTTAGCCGACCTTAGCGCGAGGGCGCGGGACAGGCGCCGCCTCGCGGCCCCAGCAACTGCCCGTCTCGTGAAGACCCGATGACCGGCAGCCTGCTAGTGCCTGTTTACCGTATAAAGTGCCGTGCCATCCAATGCAAAGACATCAGTTTTGTAGTCCGCGCCATTTTCCATGCCATCTCACCCTTGCAATGACCGAGAACCGGAGGCCGAGTCTCAACAAGACGTCCAGTCTGGCGGGTTTGTTTGACGTTCTCCAAGTACCAAACTCGTACGCTAATGCTGTTTGCCAATCGTACACAGACCACAGCCCCTTTGGGAGCGGGCATGCCGCGATAACCCTTTCAGCTAGACTTGTGTAAATATGCCTCACATGGAACAGGTTTGTATTACAGCAACGAGCGAAATCTGCTCGATTTTCAGGGTCTCTACCGCAGGGCTTTCCTTGTTACCGCGTCATTTACATTTGTTGTTAATAATGCACAGCCCTAAGCAGACATTTGGCATCGGCCCCGCATCTGCGCATTTTCCGGTCATATTTCCTCACGATGCCTCGCGGGAGCACCAGAAGGTGGCGGGCCTCAGATTCCGGGCCGCAACTGATCAGTTGGTCTCGCCGTCCGAGGCCCCGGCCTGCACGCGTGCAGGGACTGGTGGCGAACAAACAGCAGCATGTGATCATTTGTGAACGGCCAGCTGTGAATTTATTACCGCTTGTGAACGTTTGTTTGTGAACAGACAGTTAAATAGCTTATCTGATATAGCGCAATACATATATCTGCTGTAAATGATGAATGTCAATAATTTGTAAACAATCTGTGGTAAATGGTCAGCTGAGAAAAGTCAGCTATGAGAGGCCGGCTGTGAGCGGTCAGCTGTGAGAGGTGAGCCGTGAGAGGTGAGCTATGAGAGGTGAGCTGTGAGAGGTGAGCTGTGAGAGGTCAGATGTGAAAGGTCAGCTGTGAGAGGTCAGATATGAGAGGTCAGCTGTGAGAGGTCAGATGTGAATGTCTGATCATGAATCTGACCTTGTCGCGCCCTGCTTGTGTGAAGCCATGTTGTTTTTTACTTACATGTGTTTTTTATTCCGCTCATTTACTGTTATTATTTTCGAAGCGCCTAGTGTTAGCTGAATGTACGCCATTTGCACTTGCTTTGTGCTCTTTCTTCATGCTATCAGGACTAAAGTTTTTTATTGTAAACGAGCTGGTTTACCAACTATAGTTGTAAGCTAGCACACACGAACTAAATGCAAGTCAGACTCCCCATGTGTTACACAAATCCACGAATTTGCAATTAAATTTGCAGCCCCGGGTGGAGCCGCGAGCTGTCGCACTCGTACTGGGGCGTTTTATGTTACAAAGAAGGCGAAAGGACCTCCGGCCTCCGGAACGTGCAGAAGACTTACTAAGTTTTTCTGGCGCATCGACTCCGTCTAAGCCGCGTTTATAATACTATTTCACTGCGCACAGTCTTATGGATAACGCTCGGGACAAATAATCCCGCTCCTTCTCAGAACAGCCGCCGTCCCCGGAGGCCTGCTTCTCCTTGCTATTCCACGAAGCGGGCTGGTTAGGCTAGTCTTCGGCCTACTGTATGTTTATTTAGAATTCTCGGGCGCCTTCCAAACAGCGGGTCGTTTAGTACTGCCTGCACGTGTTTCGCGAATGCCATCTAACCACCACCAACAGAGACACCAAGCAAGTGATCAGCCATACGCGAACCAGAGCAAATCACGAAGGGAACCGCCGAAAAGTAGCGCTTTCCTCGTCGTCTGTCATGCATTTAAAATTGCATCTTCGGTTTTGAATTGCAGCACAGTTCACTGTGCTGCGTACACCGCGCCCTGTGCCCTGTGCCCTGTGCCGTACTGTGACGGCTGAGGCAGGTCATTTGGACATTGCCGGTCGCAGGGATCTGACCCGGTGGCCATGACCTCCGCTTGCTAGGCCCCGGCACTGGCCGGTGGCGGTGGTGACCTCTGCCGTCTCGGACCGCTCGCCTGTGAGCTGCTCGCGGTATGCTGCTGGTACCCGATGAACAACATATGCTCCGTTTTCAGATGGTGGGATGTCTGGCGGTGATGATGTGTGGGAGCACCCAAGCAGCCAGCATCATCTTTCCAACAACAAGTGAGCAACAGCCTTTCACAACGCTCTGGTGCGAAGTAGAAGGCGTGCATAACACCCGTATCCGTTGCTTCATGCAAATCAAACTTGTTGTGTAGTGAAAGCTCCTTGGACTGAAATGCTTCCAACATAATGAAATACTCCCCGAAGTATATGCTGGGTATGTGCAGTCCACGCTCCAAGTGCGCGGTCCAAGCAGCGCTGTCGTGTTGCTGTAAGCCACGTGCTGAATTGCTTAAGTTACGTGCTTAATTTGCAGATATGTCTAGCCAGAGGCGCACCATTTAAATCATGTTTTAACTTCCCGAAACAATAACCGCTGCAACACAAACCGTCTTAGCGTTATGAAATGTTCAAAACATTCAGCGGCTAGTGGTTCTTCAAAATTCTAAGTTATGCTTGCTAGCAATATAGACACGACTTATCTACGTGAAGCATATTCAGATGCATCATATTTGTCAGAATGCAGCGGGCATCATTTTTCTCTTCGTTAAATGCATTTTTCTCACAGCTAAACGGGCAGCTTCGACCCTGACCTTTCCTTGCCTGTCGGAAATAATGAATTACAGTCATCGCGGCGTTCGAATCCCCGCCGTCTAACTGTGCTGCCTTTGGACGCGTCCGCCCGCAGGCCGGAACGCCAGCAGGACCAGGCTGCCACAGCTTGTTTTCACCGAAGAGCCAGCATGCATCCGCCGATCCGAGTTCGGCATGTGCGAAACAATCGACGAGGAGTACCCGACGTGAGTGAGCCAGACACAGCGCGGTCGTAACTCCGCCAGGACGGACGCGCTCCGTCTGTGACCGGCCCGTCTCGATCCGTCACCGGTCCGTCTCGATCCGCCTCGGTCCGTCCCGACCCGTCCCGATCTGTCCCGATCTGTCCCGATCCGTCCCAACCCGTCCCGATCCGTCGCGATCCGTCCCGGTTCTCCCATCCGTCCCGATCCGTCTCGATCCGTCCCGAGCCGTCCCGACCCGTCCCGATCTGTCCCGATCTGTCCCGATCTGTCCCGATCCGTCCCGATCCGTCCCGGTCTGTCCCGACCCGTCCCGACCCGTCCCGATCTGTCCCGATCCGTCCCGATCCGTCCCGGTCTGTCCCGACCCGTCCCGATCCGTCTCGATCCGTCCCGGTTCTCCCATCCGTTCCAATCCGTCTCGATCCGTCCCGATCCGCCCCGGTCCGTCCTGACCCGTCCCGATCCGTCCCGGTTCTCCCATCCGTGCCAATCCGTCCCGATCCGTCCCGGTTCGTCCCGACCCGTCCCGATCCGTCCCGGTCCGTCCCGACCCGTCCCGATCTGTCCCGATCTGTCCCGGTCCGTCCCGACCCGTCCCGATCCGTCTCGATCCGGCCCGGTTCTCCCATCCGTCCCGATCCGTCTCGATCCGTCCCGATCCGTCCCGGTCCGTCCCGATGGCTCAGCTGACTGGAACGCCTGCTCTCTGACTCAGTCGCCCACGGCGGCGCGAGTGCGAGCCGCCACCGGCTTTTGCTGCTAAACGCTGTCCGAGCTGGCCTGCTGCCGGTGGCAGCCGCCACATGAAAGGCTAAAAGTGACGTCAGAAGCCAGGAGGTACCGTGCCGAGCATGATAGCACATTAAGCTAACACCGTCAAATGCTGCCGCTGATCTCGATTTGCACGGTTGCATGATGTGGTCACAGCTCACGCAACAAGCATTGCTTAATGGGGCTTTGATCCCACTGATCCATGCAATCCAAAGGTTCGGACCGCATCTGAAGAAAAAATGAAAAGGTCCGTGCCACAGTGCATTGAGCTGCTATCTCGGAGCTAAGCTCAGGGTCTGGCTTATTGCGAGATCTCGATGAAATCCTTGTGCGCCGGCTGCCAACTGGTCTTCGCTGACTTTATTCGCACTGACGGTCGCCAGCGATCGGTAAGAAACAGACGGTCTGTGCTGTGCTTGTGGTATGCCCACCAGGATCCGTACCTCTGTCCAGTCCACGGAACTTTCCTATTTTGTAATACCATTCGCTATTGGTCGCTACTGAACTGTTACTTTTCAGACTGTCACTTCGCTGCAAGACCGCTGATCTGCGTGGTCGGCCAACGCAGCGAGAAACACATGCAAAATACATTGGAATAGCTGGTGCTAGCTGTGACGCGCCTTGTCCACTGAAAGAACGTGCGCGATGGTGCTCGCTGTGACGCGCCGTGTCCACTGACAGAACGTGCGCGATGGTGCTTGCTGTGACGCGCCGTGTCCACTGACAGAACGTGCGCGATGGTGCTCGTTGTAAAGTGCCGTGTCCACTGACAGAACGTGCGCGGTGTTGTTCACAGTGAGATCATAAAGGAGGCGCTGGCACAGAGCAACAACGCGCCGGTCGCCGAGCTGGCCAGCGGAGACGACACGCTTGTGGTGAGTACGCAGCCTCCACGTGCCAGGGGTTCGAATCCCATAGAAGGACACTCTCACTGCCCTCCCGGTGTATTCCGTGGGTGACTCCCCAGCCACTGAGACAATACCTACTTCCATTAAATAGTAAACCGTCCGCTGCTCCGGTCCTGCATAGCGTTACAACCCGCCTCCGCCGTGAACAAGTTGGACGGCGGTGGGCCACGGCAGCCGCGTACAGGCGGTGAGCTGGCTGTCCTGCTGTCGGTGCCGCCCAGCAGTGAGCAGGCTGTCCTGCTGTCGGTACCGCCCAGCGGTGAGCTGGCTGTCCTGCTGTCGGTGCCGGCCAGCGGTGAGCAGGCTGTCCTGCTGTCGGTGCCGCGCAGCGGTGAGCAGGCTGTCCTGCTGTCGGTGCCGGCCAGCGGTGAGCAGGCTGTCCTGCTGTTGGTGCCGGCCAGCGGTGAGCAGGCTGCATTGCTGTCGGTGCCGCCCAGCGGTGAGCAGGCTGTCCTGCTGTCGGTGCCGCCCAGCGGTGAGCAGGCTGCATTGCTGTCGGTGCCGCCCAGCGGTGAGCAGGCTGTCCTGCTGTCGGTGCCGCCCAGCGGTGAGCAGGCTGTCCTGCTGTCGGTGCCGGCCAGCGGTGAGCAGGCTGCATTGCTGTCGGTGCCGCACCCTCGAGCCTCAGTCGTCATCACCAGCACCTTCGCCCGACCGCGCCGCACATCGGGGTCTTGCGTTGCCTGTGACCTGGCACATCGTGCTATGGTCAGCTGATGTCGAGCGGGTGCCCCATCTGGAGGGGCTTGTCGTCCCCGCCGGCGCCCGGCGCCTCTGCAGGAGGGGGTCTATCGGCCCCACCGGCGCCCGGCGCCTCTGTTGACGGGGCTTGTCAGCAACAGCCGTCTGTGACGCGGCCACGGAATCAGAGCGGCGCGACAGGCCGGCAGAGTATAACACCGCGGAATGGATATCAACCCGAGAGGTCCGGATAGGAGGCAGCATGCGCAGCCCGCTGGCAGCGCCCCTGCACCGAGGGGCGAACGCCCGGCGAGTCGCTGCGACCTTGTCCTAGATCTGCGCGGCTCGAACGGCGCGGCGTGACCCGGCGTGCCGGCGCTGCACGACGAGGCTGCGACGGAGCCGAGCACGGGCCCTCCGCGCCGCCAGCACCGGCGCTATAGAGCGAGACTGCGACAGAGCTGCGCACGAGCCTGCCGCGCTGCCAGCGCCGGCGCTATAGAGCGAGACTGCGACAGAGCTGCGCACGGGCCTGCCGCGCCGCCAGCACCGGCCGGCTGCGACAGAGCCGAGCGCGGGTCTGCCGCGCCGCCAGCACCGGCCGGCTGCTACAGAGCCGCGCACGGGCCTGCCGCGCCGCCAGCACCGGCCGACTGCAACAGAGCCGCGCACGGGTCTGCCGCGCCGCCAGCACCGGCCGGCTGCTACGGCGCGCATTCGACGTTTCGGGACAAGGTCACACAGCAGATGCCAATGAGATCAGGGCACTGCGAGCTGCAGCCGTGCGTTGGCCGATGATAAAGTGACATTGGCCGGTGACATTGGCCGGTGATAAAGTGACATTGGCCGGTGACATTGGCCGGTGATAAAGTGACACCGACACAGGGACGCGACCAACCAGGAGCGATTGACACCAGCAACAGACACTTGAAGCTATGATTGCTAATGTTCAACCTTGCCTGACGTGGGTATCAACCACCTCCTCTCAAAAGACCCTGAACTTCGCTCCCGGACCATGCCTGTCTCGTCACAACGTAGACGTATCTATACCGCAGAGATTCTAGGCGTGTCTGTTCCCTTGGAATTCGAGCCAGATGTTTTTGTACTGACCGGGCTATGTAGGCACAGATGTGCACCTATGAGGAGCACGAGAGTTTGTGTGAGGGGGACGGGCTGCATTTGGATTGGTTCCCTCCACGTTATGCTCTACGCTCCGTAAAAACTTGTTTCAACCACTGGGGAGGGGCTCAAGCTTCCTGAGCCCCCTTGCAACAGCTCCTTCGCCTCGGTGCATACGTATATACGTGCACAGTACGCGAAGGCGCGTGTCAACTCCCCGTAAGGTGTACATTAACTCCCCACAAGGTGTGTATCGAAGGTGTGTTTTGACTCCTGTAGTGCCCGCTCAACGCTGACATCTTATGACAGCCGCTGAGGAGCTCCGCACAGCCCGGCGATAACTGACCGCTAGTTAGGACTGTGACGGTCAGCTGACAGTCCGTGGCAGACTGTGACGGTCAACTGACAGTCCGTGACAGACTGTGACGGTCAGCTGACAGTCCGTGACAGACTGTGACGGTCATCTGACAGTCCGTGACAGGTTGTGAAGGTCAGGTCAGCTGACAGTCTGTGACAGGCTGGGACGGTCAGCTGACAGTCCGTGGCAGGCTTTGACGGTCAGCTGACAGTCTGTGACAGGATGTGACGGTCAACTGACAGTCCATGACGCGCTGTGACGGTCAGCGCTGACTGTCTGTGACAGGCTGCGACGGTCAGCGCTGACGGTCTGTGACAGGCTGTGACAGCCTGTGACGGTCAGCGCTGACGGCCTGCGACGGTCAGCGCTGACGGTCTGTGGCAGGCTGTAATGACTGTCCTGCTGGGCAGCCTGTCCACGTCACTCACCACTATCGAGCCCTCCGCCTGCACAGCTCAGTCGTGTACACCTAACGCCCGCGTGAGGCGGTGCGTTGCTGGTCGTTGCTGGTCGCCGCTGGCCGCCGCTGGTCACTGCTGGCCGGCGCGCCACGCCAGTGATCCGGGCCCCGGTGCCGTGCGGGGGACCGGTTCGGCGGCGGCCGCTCGAGCCCCCAAGATCCGGTTTGATTCGATTTGATTCGATGTTTATTTTTGATTATGGACATTGGGCAGTACGTAATATGATGAATGGATTGGCGCATAAGCGAAACGCTTAAATCTGAGCGCCTCACCTAACAATAACAAGATATGGTCATCGCCGCCAGGGAACCCACGACCCACCGCCCACTCGCCCGATCGTAAGCCGACACGGGCCAGGCGCCCGCCGCCACTCCAGTCTATACATGTAGCCGTCTCGGGCCGGCGGCGGACGCCCGGCCCAGCAACGCCACCCAGTAGTCCGTTTGCTGCCCGCGCCCGCTGAAAGTTTTCAGGCGAATCGTCTGGTCTGAAAAAGAAACGTTTGGAAAATTTTTGCTCAGTGCTGCCCATTGCGATCTTGTAAACCGTTACCTGTGAAATAGATCCTTAGTTGCTCGTTGTGAGTGAGCTCAGAAAAGTTTGGAATGATACGATTTGTTTTACGTAGCATTGAAATTCGGATTTCATGATAGCGAGGACAGTTCAGTACGAAGTGTTTAGGGTCTTCATATGGATCATAGTCACATAAGCAAGAGGGACTGCATGTAGTTGGATTTTGAATTTCGAACAGATGGGCATTCAGGTCTGACATTCCCAATCTCAGCCTAGTATTTAGGATGTTACCATGCGTGAATCCAAAGCTGTGATGCACCGGAGGCGCGGCCGCACCGCAGCGCTGGTATATTTCCCGTTTGAAGGAAAGAGAAGACTGGGGAGAACACCTCAAGTGGGAGCTGGTTCCATCTCCTCGTAGTTGATGGAATCTAGGATTTTTGGTATGTTGAGGTTCTGTTCGGTGGTAATGTGAGTGTCATTGCACTGCGTAGTGGGCGTCCTGTTGTCCGGTAGCCCCGCCCCCTCCGTGCCCTGCAACGCTCAGCTGCTAGAGCCCGCTGCGGGCCGGGTTTGTTTCTGATGCTGACGTATCGTCTGTCCAACCAGTCCTGCCTGGGAGCGGGTGCTCAGAGCTGGTGAGGTGTCCGCTGGCCGGCGGCGGGTGCTCAAAGCTGGTGAGGTGTCCACTGGCGGGCGACGGGTGCTCAGAGCTGGTGAGGTGTCCGCTGGCCGGCGGCCGGTGCTCAAAACTGGTGAGGTGTCCACTGGCGGGCGACGGGCGCTCAGAGCTTGTGAGGTGTCGGCCGATAGGACAGTGGGTGTTCAGAGCTGGTGAGGTGTCCGCTGGCGGGCGACGGGTGCTCAGAGCTGGTGAGGTGTCCGGTGCTAGGGCGGCTGGCGCTCAAAGCTGGTGAGGTGTCCGCTGGCGGGCGACGGGTGCTCAGAGCTGGTGAGGTGTCCGGTGCTAGGGCGGCTGGTGCTCGGAGCTGGTGACTCGTCGTCCGATGGAGTGGCATCGCACGGGTCGTAGTGCTCACGAGCCGCTGCCTAGCACGTGACGGCTTCGCCAGCGCACGGCGCGCCCTGTGCCGGCTGCAGCCGCCTGTAAAAACACGCCCAGTTTGGTCAGAACCATGAGCACGATAAGGCACGAGCGTTCGTCTTTTTTAGCAGCGGATGCAACACTCGCGAACAGGTCGCGTTGACCAGGTTGTTTTGCCATTAATGAAGCATTTGCGGTTTTTTATTGTGTTTGGCGATTTGCTTTTATCGTGGCCTATCTAGGCTATTCCTTTAAGTTGCCATTTAGGCTGAATGCTTTGAGAACTCATCTCGTTAGGAATTTGTGGCCAGGAATGCGTGGGCCATCGCACTGGCCAGTGAATCCATGAGTGGCCTGTGGGTAGTATCCGCCACATGGAGGGCAGGGAGGGCAGGGAGGAAGAGAGCGCTGGAAAGGGGGCCTCAAACAGTGCCCAAATAAGAGAGAGAGAGGAAGCGAGCGACCGAGTAACAAACTGAAAGTGGGAAAGATGGAGTGGATTAGCGGGGGCGATATTCGCACGATCACGTGCCGTCCATGAGTTCTGTGCGCTCACGTGCCATTCACGTGAACGCTCACTCCATCGGTGAGATAGTCGGCGCGGTTCTGACACCGGATCTGTGTCGACTCGACAGCTGAACAGGTCTGTAGCGGAGCTCAGTCTTCCCGGGCACCCGTACGTCGCCGTCGATGCCCGAGCATCAAGGTGCACGGCGCCGCAGCCCGTTGTGCTGAGGGGTATTCATACTACCATCGCTGGCGCGCAGTCAGGTGGCGTTGCCGACGGTTGCCATGACTACGTCAGGTCCTCGGGCCCTGGACCGTGCTCGTTCCGATAGCAAGATTGTGTCAAGCTTTGATGTTCCCTCAAGCATGCCAGTAATTATGCTGGCTATTTAGAGAAATGAGCATGTTTTCCGGAGCGTTTCACTGGCAGGCGTCCCTCGAGACGAGTGGAAAGTTAGCAAGGACGTGCCGTGCGTGTGTGCCGAGCCCGGGATTACCAGCCCAGTGCAGATTGCCTGATCAGGGTCAGGCTCAAACATGTATGACACGAAGCCACAGCCCACGCGGCTCGAACGTAACTGACAGCTGGAACAAAGACGATCAATGCGAATGAACCTCAGGGCAAAACGACCGGCTTGCACAGCGCTAAATACGTTTGGTTAGCATGCATGCAATTCGCACTGCTATCCGCAGGCGTACATGTGTAGGAATATAACTAGGTGTTATCTTTCCGTATCAGTTTGACCTGACCATGGACTTAACCCCATGCGCTTTTCCCCATGACACATGGCCATGGACTTAACCACATGCCTTTTCTCCCCGCGTTATCAGTTCGACGCGTGGCAATGGACTTAACCCCGTGCCTTTTTCCCAAATTAGTCTGCTATGGTAAGCAGTCATATTATCATCAGAATTTGCTACGTACGTTTTCCATGCGTCGCATATGGAAATAACTACATTTCTTGGAGAGCCGTAGGACGGTCGCGTAATCTTGGCAAAAAATGGTTAGATTACGCCATACTGAGAGCAAACTTACTCTTGCGATAGATACACGTGCCCTTGGGACTAATGTAGTAGCTGTGCGCGGCCTCGGCATAGCTGGTTACGCTTAACCTGTGAATATTAATAGCGTGTTTCTGGTAGGCTTTGGTGCGGGAGGATGCGTCCAGTGTGCAAAGGAATTCTGATGCTTTCTTCCAGATGCATGAGTCACGTGCTTACTTTTACCTTTCAAAATCTATGACAATTGTGATGTGTGGTGGTGCTCTGCAGATTTTCAAGTTACCTTTTGTGAGTTGCGTTTTTCTCTAAGCAGCTGCCTTCATAAATGGAAACCAGTTGTGCCAGGTGTCGTCTTTGTTTGTACAGACGTTCCGAAAATGGAGGGTGCCGGCTGAGCTTGTTTCCCCACCCCGCATGTCACCCAGCAGTCGAGGGTCAGGGGTGACCCTCGACTGCTCTGACCGCTAAGGGCGCCCGTGAGCGTCATGTGCCGGGCTCACCACCGGACCTCGGCTGCTGCCGTGGAAGCTAGTGCCGTCAGCGACCAGTTCTCAGAACTCATGCTTCTGACCTTAATCACACATACGGTCACGCAACATTGTACAACATGCCCCCGACACAGCAATCATCGTAATGTCAGGTTAATGCCAGTCGACTGACGGTTGTAATCACTCGTAAACATGTGCAGACGCCCGGCGAGGAAGCCGTGGTCGACCTCGCCAGCTGGCACGGACATTGGCATGCGAACTCCTAAACTTTGACGTCGAAAGATGTTTGTCCCCGCCGGTTCGCCACGCCAGATTTTGCCACCCTTCCGCGTCTGTGCACATGCTGCCGCGCGTCTGGACCCCACCTTCAGTCGCCGCCAAAGCATCGGTAGCTGGCGACAAAAGCAGCACGAATAGACGCGTCGTTTCGTGCCCAGACCGGTGGGAAAGCCTCAGCGCTGCGCCCGTGATAAATGAGCTCGCCGCCGGCGGCGGTGGTGTTGATTATTTCGCGCGTGACCGGGCGCCCTCTGCTGAAAAGCGGCCGTCATGCCAAGATGAGGCGGCCGCCGCTAGATGGCTCGTCGGTCGTCGTGACCGCGCCAAATTCAGCGAGCGTGCGTCTAGAGCTGGACTCGTTAGCTGACGGCGTGGACGCGGTCAGCTGACGTGGACGCGGTCAGCTGACTTGAACGCGGTCACCTGCCGTGGATGCGGTCAGCTGACGTGGATGCGGTCAGCTGACGTGGACGCGGTCACCTGCCGTGGACGCGGTCAGCTGACGTGGACGCAGTCGAGTCCTGACCTAGCGCCCGACTGGGGCCTTTGAGCGGGGCCGGCTCTGCCGCTTTATGCGGCAGGATTCACTAAAGAGTGAACTGACATAAGTGCAAAACCCGTTTGTGATTCAATGCCCGGAATCCTTAAAAAAATATTATGAGCAGGGGAACCGGTGTGGCTGAAAAAAACCCGAAACCGGTTGATGTAGTGGAGCCCGGCGAATGTCCTGAAGACGGATGTATGCGCTCCTGACAGACGCTGACAAACGCTGACAAACACTTAGTCACTTGGCAAATACGCGCCTGCTGACAAACGCTTCACGTCTGGTCTGACCTGCGGTACGACACCCGGACTGTCCCACTCCCTGGTGACACCTGGACTCTCCCACTCCCTGGTGACACCCGGACCGTCCCACTCCCTGGAGACACCCGGACCGTCCCACTCCCTAGAGACACCCGGACCGTCCCACTCCCTGGTGACACCTGAACCGTCCCACTCCCTGGTGACATCTGGACCGACCCACTCCCTGGTGACACCCGGACAGTCCCACTCCCTAGAGACGCCCGGACAGTCCCACTCCCTGGTGACACCGGACAGTCCCACTCTCTGGTGACAACTGGACCGTCCCACTCCCTAGAGACGCCCGGACCGTCCTACTCCCTGGTGACGCCCGAACCGTCCCACTCTCTGGTGACACCTGGACCGTCTCACTCCCTGGAGACACCCGGACCGTCTCACCCCCTGGTGACATCCGGAACGTCCTACTCCCTGGAGACACCCGGACTGTCGAACCCCCCGTGGAAGCCCGGCTGCGACACCCATGCTGGTGCAGGGGAATAATTTTTTCCAAAGGACTTCTGGTCCCCCGCTTTTGTGGCGTTCCCGCTCGTGCCACAGCCGTCCGCAAGGGGCACCGGCTGGGCCGAACGGGTCGAATTGGGCGAAGCCTTGACGAGACGCCGTCGCTGACGGAAGTGGACGCTTCCGGTCTGGCGGCTGGCTGCGCTGAGCGGCGCGCTCCCAAACCGGTCGGACGGCCGTGTCAACGCCGCACGCGGAAACCGGGAAACGGCGCCGCTCGCGCCGGGCCAACTGCACACACGTGCGCGTGCAAACACGCCACTGCCCTCTGTAACAGCGGACGGTCGGCTTTTGCAGTGCCTGCCCGACCAGGGAGGCGTCTAGCTCTCTTGTGGAGCCTGGTTTGAGGAGCCCACCTCTCCTGAGGAGTGTGGCTCTGACGGGATCTAGCTCTCCTGAGGAGTCTAGATCTCTTAAGTCGGGAGCTATCTGTTTGGTGGACTGCGGGAGTTCGTGATGGTATGTTTGATGGAGTGCAGTCCAAGATAACTCTGTTTTGCAGCTAAAAAAGAAAATAGAATAAATGAGCGAATAAACAAACTGGAGCGCATATTTGGCAGACATCTACAACACTAGATTCCAGTCACGGAATCTAGCACATTCGAACTCACAGTTTGTTTAGTCCTCGACAACCACCAACTCGCTATTTTCACAAATTATAGGCCGTTATTCTGGTGCCATCAGTAGCACCGCAGTTCTTCAATATGTTTTGCACCAGTCCACAAATTTCAGGTGGTAAACAGCAGAATTTAACAAAATGAGCATAAATGAGTAAATGATCGACTTCTAAATGACCTTCTGAAATCGACATAGTGTTTTCCAATCCGTTCCAGCCAGCTTTGCTGCCATGTTTCAGACCCGACAACATGCGCAGCCGTGCGGTCCGATACATTCCCAGTCCAGTGCAGAGGGTGCCGGTAGTGTAGTGGTTAACACATCTGCGTTAACCACTGCGCGTCTGGGAAACCAGAGGTACGGGGTTCGATTCCCCGCGGTGCCCGCCCATTCTGCCAGGGTGAGAGGCAGGCGACGCCACATAGCCTCAGCAGCTGAGTGCGTCGTAAAACCCCAATCACACACACAGTTCAGTGCGGACCAGTCCGTGTGCCATGTTGTTGATTCGTCGGCTGCGGGAGGCCCCGAAGCCCCGCAAGGCCCTGGACCCGAGCGGACCGTTGCCCTGAGCATATAGCAGTATCGGGAGTACCGCCCTGAGCATATAGCAGTATCGGGAGTATCGTCCTGAGTGTATAGCAGTATCGGGAGTATCGCCCTGAGCATATAACAGTATCGGGAGTATCGCCCTGAGCATATAGCAGTATCGGGAGTATCGCCCTGAGCATATAGCAGTATCGGGAGTATCGCCCTGAGCGTATAGCAGTATCGGGGAGCAAAACGGGAGTGCCGCCACTGAGAGACTTCGAACTTGTTTGGATGTAAAATAATTGAATGTACCAAACAATTAGCAACACATGCTATTGGAAGTGACAATTGAAAATTTCCGACGTACATATGCGTGCGAGAAGCTTAGGTAACGTACTTCTGTGAATGAGGTTACATAGTTATGGAAGTTAGCTGTATTTTTATTTTATAACAAATGCATGGGTTCTGAGGAATGTGGACTTAGAGCAGCACAGAATCAGCGTATTTCTGGCGATGAAACGAGGTGCAGTCATACTGGCACAAGTGCTTATCTCGCTTACGACGGGCCCCGTGCGCTCAAGCCCCCGATCCGTGATACCAGCGGTCTGATCATGCCGCAGGGCATCACTCGCTGCCTTGGATCTCGACTCACAACTGCACACTGCCCAGGTGTTAGACCGCAGCAACTGCGTCCCCCTGGCAGATACTGGCTGGCTTACATGGTCTTAAATGTCTCGAATGTGTATGTTAGACGCGCCATGTACTCCGAACAGTGTCATGACTTTATGCCGGTCGCTGTCGACCTTCTAGCCACGGTGCTGAGTTAGCGGTTGATGACAAGCCTAGACGAGATGAGCTTTGGTGCGAAAGCCTATCAACCAGAACATATACATATTAGCAAGGTCACAAGTCAGCCAACTGCATCTTAATGAGCTTCCTGAATATAGAAATGCATTTGGATCTTATCAAAATCAGGCTTATGATTAGGGAACTGAAGGTGGATCAGACTCGGTGACGAGTGGCACTAAGCTAACGCCTAATACCTATGCCAACAACTAACAACACTTAACTAGGTCATGTACTTATGTGTAGTACAATATCCACTTTCCCAGCCATAATTTTGTAGCCGAAAGCTTTATGACAGCAACAAAGAACAGCACTTGGCGCGCTGGCCGGGCCCGGCCTGTCGCCGCCGGCCTCGTGCCGTGCCGGCCTGCTCGTGCCGTGACGGCCTGCTCGTGCCGTGACGGCCTGCTCGTGCCCCGGTGGCCTCCTCGTGCCGTGACGGCTTCTTCGTGCCGCGACAGCCTGCTCGTGCCGTGACGGCCTCCTCGTGCCCCGGTGGCCACCTGGTGCCGTGACAGCCTGCTCGTGCCCCGGTGGCCTCCTCGTGCCGTGCCGGCCTGCTCGTGCCCCGGTGGCCTCCTCGTGCCGTGCCGGCCTGCCCGTGCCCCGGTGGCCTCCTCGTGCCGTGCCGGCTTGCTCGTGCCCCGGTGGCCCCCTCGTGCCGTGTCGTGCCCCGGTGGCCTCCGCGGTCGGCGGCACAGACCGACTCATCGCCCAGCGACGCCACGGCCGCCTCTCCCCGCGCTGCCCGCTTAGGTCAGCGGCGGCTGGTGATCAAGGTCGTAGCGGCGCCACAAGGGGGTTGAGACCGCGAGGAATGGGACGCGCTCTGCTGGAAACCTCCAGAAAACCTCCAGAAAAAACTCCAGAAATGTGATGAAATAACGTCAAGTCTCTCGGCAAATCACGCCTGCTGAAGTCTCCTTCCCCTCACGCAATCACGATAACGGGAATTTCTCTGCAGGGCAGTGTGACATGCCTGTCCAGCGCCTCTCGCGCTGTGGCCTATGCGAGGCCGTCTGGGCGGTGGCGTGACCTCGGCTTTGGCTCGCGTCGAATCACGGACACGCGAAGGTCAGATGTCGTGACCCCGATGTAACTGTGACGTCGCCCGTGACTGTGTCCCGGACTTCCAATGCCGCGCCCGAATACCAGACTCGGTCACCCGGACACGAGCGCGATCTCGGAGGCAGACTCGGTGCCAGACTCAGGCACGGTCCCGGTCACAGGCAGCATCTGGGACACAGACATGGTTCCCGGACGCAGACACGGTCCCGGACACAGACGCGGCCCAGGGCACAAACATGGTCTGGGACAAAGACGTGATCCCAGTCATGAGCACAGTCTCCGACACAGACACGGTCCCGAAAACAGACGTGGCCCAGGACACAAACATGATCTGGGGATCAGACGCGGTCCTCCGCACACAGGCGCAATCCCAGACGCAGACATGGCGTGGGACACAAACACGGTTCCGGATACAGGCTCGGCTCCTGACACAGACGAAGTTTCGGACCCAGAAACGGGTCGGAGCGTGAGCGCGGTCCCGCACGTACCGGCCGCCGACCGGGGCTCGTGATCCGTGAGTTCCGGGTTCGTCATCCCGTGATGTGCGGATTTGGACCGCGGCCTCCGGCTAGCGGGCTCCGGGGCAGACCAGACCAACAGGCGGGAAGTGCCCCGTGCCCGACGAACGGGGCTGTCGACACGGAAACGACGCGTGTTGGTACGCGATTCTGTCACAGTTTCAATCAGTAGTCCGTAACCTGTCATGTGTTGACGCGGATATTTCGGAACTTCGACCGCACTACAAGCAAAGCTTGTGTGCATCTCAAAACCGGCGCAGAAGATCGGGTGATTCTGGTTGTAAAGATGCTGCTGATCTCGTCAGCTGAGCGGATGCTGAGCGGATGCTGGGCGGATGCTGAGCGGATGCTGAGCCAGGCCCAGCGAGCTTTCACTCAGCTGAGTGCCGCGTGTAGTGCCCCGGCCGCTGCAGCCGCCGTAACTACCCCGCACTAACCACACGGCGTCAGGGCTGGGCCGTACGCCGCACCTTCCGTCTGACCACAGCTGTCTGAATTGGGTCTGACCCGACTCGAACACTGACCCGCCGTCCACATCTCCCGTCTGACCGCAGCTGTCTGACCTGGGTCTGGCCCGACCCGGCTGTGACACTGACCCGCCGTCCACACCGGCAGGAGTTGGCGCCGCGGTTCGGCGGCAACACCGAGATGGAAAACCGACTGGTGGAGGAGACGGCCGCCTGCACGGCCACGGTTAGTTACCGACTCAACCGTCGGCCCAACCGTCGGCCCAACCGTCGTCCCAACTGACATCCCAGCCGCCGACACAACCGTCGGAAGTTGCCTGTACATTCGCCAGACTAATGAGCAGTTCCACATCTACAGTTCAGCCAATGGGCATCGTCGATAAATGCATTCAACGCTACCAAAGCAACCATCAGGCCATCTTTCGCACAGTCAACCACCACCACCGGTAGAACCATCGCCCCACTCCACGTCACATCATCAACCCAAACCTTGACTCAGTCTAGGACACAATCACCCAACGATGCAGACGCAACGGACCGTTCGCCATGGTCTGAGGCCTCGAAGTCGATGACATTCACCACCGTCATCACTGACGTCACCGACACGACCATTCAACACTACCGACACAGTGACCAACACCACCGACACAACCAACCCGCACCACCCATATTTCCACCACCCATAACGCCACCTACACGACCGTTCGGTACAGCCGAAGCAATTATTCACGTCATTCAAACTTTGGTACAACGCCATTTGCACTGATCAACAGCGTTGCGAGGTTCTGGTTTAATGTATGCTAGCCCAGACTACCATGTGTACTTCTTTACTTGACACTTATAGCGCTTGGCAGGTTTTGGATGATCAACCTTGGACCAAGTTTTGAAATCTTGGGTTTGAACCTGTGTTACACTGCTGGCTATGAAGTTATGAGCTCTGCAGTTATGTGCTTTGCTATCATGTGCGCAGCTTTGTGCTCATTCAACACCGTTCGTATGTCGTAGAAAAACCGCTTCTGTACTCTCATGAACGCATCGAAAACAAGCCCCAACCGTCTCAGATAATATCCTCCAACCAGGGGTACCACTATTCAGTTGCCCCGTGATAGTAGCCTGTTTCCTGCATGTGGTTAGATCGTTGCCCGTTATACCGCAGGAGTCCATCATCTACCCGAAGATGGCGAAGAATGACAAGAACCAGTGGCTGTTCGTGGTCAACTCCGCCGAAACCGTCCAGGGGATCCGGGTGGAGAAATGCGTGTAAGTTACCCGCGAGAGTATCTGTACCCCGCTGGTACTTGTCTGTACCCCGCTGGTACTTGTATGTACCCCGCTGGTACTTGTCTGTACCCCGCTGGTACTTGTCTGTACCCCGCTGGTACTTATCTGTACCCCGCTGGTACTTGTCTGTACCCCGAAGGTACTTGTCTGAACCCCGCTGGTACTTGTCTGTACCCCACTGGTACTTGTCTGTACCCCGCTGGTACTTATCTGTACCCCGCTGGTACTTGTCTGTACCCCGAAGGTACTTGTCTGTACCCCGCTGGTACTTGTATGTACCCCGCTGGTACTTGTCTGTACCCCGCTGGTACTTGTCTGTACCCCGCTGGTACTTATCTGTACCCCGCTGGTACTTGTCTGTACCCCGAAGGTACTTGTCTGAACCCCGCTGGTACTTGTCTGTACCCCGCTGGTACTTGTCTGTACCCCGCTGGTACTTATCTGTACCCCGCTGGTACTTGTCTGTACCCCGCTGGTACTTATCTGTACCCCGCTGGTACTTGTCTGTACCCCGAAGGTACTTGTCTGAACCCCGCTGGTACTTGTCTGTACCCCGCTGGTACTTATCTGTACCCCGAAGGTACTTGTCTGTACCCCGAAGGTACTTGTCTGTACCCCGCTGGTACTTGTATGTACCCCGCTGGTACTTGTCTGTACCCCGCTGGTACTTGTCTGTACCCCGCTGGTACTTATCTGTACCCCGCTGGTACTTGTCTGTACCCCGAAGGTACTTGTCTCAACCCCGCTGGTACTTGTCTGTACCCCGCTGGTACTTGTCTGTACCCCGCTGGTACTTATCTGTACCCCGCTGGTACTTGTCTGTACCCCGAAGGTACTTGTCTGAACCCCGCTGGTACTTATCTGTACCCCGCTGGTACTTGTCTGTACCCCGAAGGTACTTGTCTGAACCCCGCTGGTACTTGTCGGAGCTTGCCACTTGCATCGGGATCGGTGTCTTAAACACGCTGAGTACTTGGAGAAGCGTGTCTGCCATACCCCATCTTGGTCCTCTTTCTTGACGAATGTAAATGCTGCAATAATGCGAAAATTGTTTTCAACCGCTCACAGTACGTGTACATGACAAATCAGCACGAATTGAATCAGATGTCGTCTTCACATTACCTCCCATTGGCAAATCCTTCAATTCTCAGAACCACCGTATTGCCCACCACTAACAACCCTTCTCTATCGCGCACCGTCTAGACCGTTCTGTTCCCAGAATGGAAGACCGGGGCCCTAGGAGACGCTCTCGCCCTCCTCCAGTCAGCCCGCCATCAAATACAACCGCTCGGGGTCATACTCATGCCTGCGTGCATGCGCCAGCACCTTTCCGCTGAAATACTGAGCTCCGCAATGTGGGTGCGGGTGCAGTCCAATGTCACAATCGGTGAAGGTCACGCGGTGGGGGGGGGGGGGGGGGCTAAGCGAATCCTCGTCGGGGAACATTGCCGGTAGGCAAGGCACAAGCGGTGCATGCGAGGCACACGTGGCGTAAAACTGCACCACACCCGGTGTAAATTTGCACCAGCTCCATTTCTACTTGTGGGATCTGCTCACTGCCAGCCAGATGGCTTGGTGCATCTGCCCAAGGGCGTCACTTTTTCAAATCGTTTAGGGTTTCGGGGGTCGGCTGACATGGTTGATCCAGCCTACCCCTAAAACCGGATTCGTTCCCGGCTTTCGGCCACTTATAGTTGCGTTCTCGACGCCAATACAATTTTTGCGTAATCAACCTGAAGCACGCTTAACTCGGTTCTTATTTGTGAGTTTTGCCCCCCCCCCAGGGCATAAAATCCTGCGTGCGCCTCTGCTGAGCAATGCATCAGGCTGGCGAAGAAGTAGGAGAAAAGAAAAACAAGCACATTGTTGGTATAAACCTCCCCTGTGTGCATGGCAAGCCATGCAAACAGATAAATGCGGCCAGTTACCTTAAGTAAAAGCTGCCGCATATTGCAGCGCATTTGTTTTTTTGTCCCAATCCAGGTGTTATTGCGTGCAAAAGCTGACAATAATTGTAAACTGACCCAGCATATCAAGGAGTTGAAATGAGGCAAACATTTTAGGTACCTTCATGCTACGATGTGACACAAAATAAACATGAAACTTTCAGTGATTTCTTAAGATGGATACCTAGTGCACCAGCCTTCTGGGGCAATATTTTCGCGTTCATTTGTTCAGTATTCTTTTTCCCCCATATTCATTGGGGAGGGCTCAGAGGAGTATTGGGAATGGGGAAGGGGGGGGGGGAAGTCAGCACTAGAGGAAGAGGTGGGCCCCCCAGGAAGTACATAAAGTGACACCCCTTTGTCTCCACTTCCCAGCCGCCCCTCGCGCTGGCCCGTCCCGCCATCACAGACTTCCCAGCAATTCGTATCCATACGCCCAATACGCTTTCATACGTATAGAATATAAACGCATCGTAAGCCTTTTCATAGCTGAAATGGCCGAAGCTCGCCGGCATCAGTCGGCGCGCCTGAAAGCAATGCCGGCAGCCAATGCTGCAGGACAGCGGCCGTCATCCGCCATTCTCCTGCCGCATTGATCGCCTGACCATTGTTTCTTTGAACGCAGCATATTTTGATATGTGGCCGGTTACGCGGTCACCGGTGCCCCCCCCCCCCCCCCCCCCCGTTACACCCGGCGTCGCCGTGACAGCGACTTTGCAACGGCGCTTCACCGCTGCACGTGACGTCTGTTAACGGGCCAGTGCCGCTGGTCAGGAGGTCATGACCCTCCTGAGGCAGGGGGACAGGGGGGGGGGGGGGGGCGTTGTCAGTGGGAGACGGCGTATGTAAGAAGCTTAAACCAAGAGCTGTCTTCTTGATGCGTGCACCAGTAGGCCTACATACGAAAGCAGAGAAGTTTCAGCGGTGTAGGTTGTTTTGCAGTGTCGGTATGTGCGTGCCGTGGTCGTGGTGTTTTGGTGTCTTCTTCAGGGGGCGGAGTGGCTCAATAGTTAGCGTCTCCAGGGCTCACGTGCCGACCCGGGTTTGAAGTCTGGAAAATCTGGTGGCGTCGAATGTTCCTGGGTGGTCTCAGCAGCTCCTGTCTCCTAGCCTCTGACCCACTAAACCTCCGCCGTCGGTGTTGAGGCGTCCAGGGTCGTCTCTGACCCCTGACCCCTGACCGACGCTGACCTTCCGCCGCCTGATGCAGGGACGAGGGCAAGCAGTGCAAGATAGCGTCGGAGGGCACAGTCTGTCGTCAGAAGTACATCTACCGCAAGATGCTGGCCGTCAACGGCTCCGGCAAGATGGCCACCGACAACTTCCGCATTCCCAGCTGCTGCGTCTGTTACATCAAGTGAGGCCGCCGCCCACAGCGCGTACGCACGCACGCATGCACGACGGACACATGATATGGATGGCGTGACGCGTCACGGCCGTGGTGACGTCGACGACGTGCTGCGGTCGCGCGCCGCAGGCCACGCCACGCTCCTGACGCGTGATGTTCACGGACCTGGGTGCGACGTTCAAGGACGTGGACGTGACGTTCACGGACCTGGGCGCGACGTTCAAGGACGTGGAAGTGACGTTTACGGACCTGGGCGCGACGTTCACGGACCTGGGCGTGACGTTCAAGGACGTGGGCGTGACGTTCACGGATCTGGGCGCGACGTTCAAGAACGTGGGCGCGACGTTCACGGACCTGGGCGTGACGTTTACGGGCATGGACGTGACGTTCATGGACCTGGGCGTGACGTTCAAGGACGTGGGTGCGACGTTCACGGACCTGGGCGTCACGAGCGGTCACGCCGGATGATGCGCTGCCCCGACCGCGGACCAAACAGGAAAACCGGCCGCTGGCGTGCACACGGGCGACCTTGTGGGTTGGTCACGTGACCATGCGCAGCGCCCGCTCGTCACCGGCCATGAGACAAGCCGCCATTGGCTGGCCGCGACGCCGTCGGCTTGTATTCGACACTCCGCGCGCTAGCTTGCATTCCGTCTTAAATGTGGCGGCCGTGTTCGGTGCCCAATCGCATTCCAAACATTTTTTGGTAGCTCTTTTTGAATGGGAACAACAATTTGCTTCTGCCGCTACTCTGACTTCTCCCATGGTTGAGCATTCAGCGACCTGACAAAAAACGACACCCAGACAATATGATCTCAAGACGTACCCCCCTCACCCAAGCACTAACTCAGCCCCTCCCCTCCCCCCCTGCAGGAATGAATTCCTGGCAGTGCGGTTCAACACCAGCCCCAAGCGTAAGAACTCGACGGCCTCATCGCGAATTCGGAGCCGCCCGGCCCGGCAGGCCGGCCCCGAGCCCGAGCTGGAGGTGGCCGGCCGCGAACCCGAGCTGGAGGTGGTCGGCGGCGAGACGGCAGGTCAGCAGAGGGGCACTGTGGGGCAGAGGGGGGGGGGCATTGTGGGTCAGCGGGGGAGGGCACTGTGGGTCGGCGGGAGGGCACTGTGGGTCGGCGGGAGGGGCGGTACTGTGGGTCAGCGGGGGGGGGGGGGCACTGTGGGTCAGCGGGGAGCACTGCGGGTCAGCGGGGGAGACACTGTGGGTCAGCGGGGAGCACTGTGGGTCGGCGGGGGGAGGGGGGGCGCATTGTGGGTCGGCGAGAAGTGCTGTGGATCACGGAGATATACTGTGCAGAGGGATACTGCACCTCACAAACAAGGTGTCACAGACGAGAGGCTGCTGCTGGGCAGTGGAGGGCGCTGTAGGTCGGCAAGGGGGATTAGTCAGACCAGAACTGGGACACTACGGGTCCGCGAGGGCTCCTTCAGTCAGAAAACTGAAGAAGGGGGGCTGAAGCTCAGAGAGGAGGCGCCAGATGCCATGGTGAGGTCTTCAGGCCGGCGAGGTGAATACAGCTCAGGGCATCGGCAAGTGTTTCGGATCGGGGCAGGACAGCTATCGGGCAGAGAGCATCAACTCATTTAGATATGTGATCTGATGGCGCGTGGGCGGATTGGGTCGACCTGATGGCGCGTGGGCGGAGAGGGTCGACCTGATGGCGCGTGGGCGGAGAGGGTCGACCTGGTGGCGTGTGGGCGGAGAGGGTCGACCTGGTGGCGTGTGGGCAATGGATCAGCTCACTCAGAGAGGTGATCTGGTGGCGCGGCGTTTTTTAGCATTGGGTTCGGATGTTTTTGGTTTGGTGGATTTTTTGGTTTACGTAGCTGACGCCGTAGATCACGATGGCTCATTGGCGGCAGGTCTCTCGGGCTCGCCACTGGACAACGCGCTGGCTCTGGCCCCGGCCGAGCAGGGGACGGCCCAGCAGAGCATCGAGACCGAGGAGACCTTCAACCCCTCGGACACCATCGGCGGCCAGCCCGTCGGCCGGTTCGCCGGTGAGATCATCGTCCACTCGAACCCCATCGTCGTCAAGAAGAAGCCTCCCAAGCAGACGCGGCGGCGCAACTGAACGGCCCGACATCTGGCGACTGCGGTGGGAAGCTGAAGTATGGGCGGCGGGGCGACCGGCGCGCGGCGCCGTCGTCGATTTCGGGATGAGGCGCCGCACTACCGTCGTAGTTGCGTGATGAAGTATTTTATCTAGTTGAAGCGAGCATTTGGCTCCCAGCCTACCAGGATTCTCCACAGCTAAAATACAGTGTTGTTAATTGTCCACGAAATGGGTCCCGACCTGACTACTTCCCCGGCTCAGCCAAATCGGCAGCATTTTGGAAACATGGCGTGTGGTGAAAGCTGAGGTTTGAGGGGACTCAGATGCGAGCAGGACTGGGCAGCCGCCGTTTGCCGAAGACCATGATGCAAGTACCATGTATATTCAGAGCTTCACTTCAGTCATGCGTATTCAGAACGGTGGGTACCTCGGACGTGGCTTGTTTGTGCGTTCGCAAACTCACGACTAATAACAGCCGCGCGTTCGTCAGCTCACGACTAACAACATGTCTGTCACGTGACTTGACATCCTCCGGGTGGTGACCAGTTGTCACGTGCGATGAGCTCCTCGGCACGTGTCACGCGAAAGACGAGAACGCTGAGAACTCATCTGAGAACGCTCTCCCGAAAGTGGCTGGCAATAATGATCGAGCAATAATTGCATCGAGCGACAAGCAAGCAGGACACCACCGTTTTTCACTGCTTGCGAAGAAATCTGGGCAGACGGCCGGGCCCCTTATGAGCACACTTTGCCACACTGTGTTCGAATGCCATGGGACAGGCTTACTGAGAACCCGTCATCATGATGTCCGACGCATCTTTCGTTGTTTTTTTTGTCTCGTTTTTGCGGCGATGCCGGGAGGAGGTGAAACGTTTTTGCACGTTTTTAATAAAGCATGACCGTCGATCTTCCGGGTGATTTGCATCAACTGGAATGCCAACGAGCCCTGAGGCATGTGACCGCCGCCGAGCCCCCACCAACCAGCTCAAATGTATAAAACAACCCCCCGCCCCACTCCAGAACGGCAGCGAAACCAACAATATCTGGGCAGTCTGCGCACCTGTATGACTGCAGACAAGCAGAGCACCTCTGCTCCGTGCAGAATGTCTCTCGTGTATAGTGCCCACACCGGAACGGTACCCCCGGTCCCGCAGACAGCAGAGTCTGAATGAGTCTGAACGAGTCCAAACGATTCTGGACAAGTCCGAACGAGTCCGATCGGGTCTGAACGGGTCTGAACGGGTCAGAACGGGTCTGAACGGGTCTGAACGGGTCAGAACGGATCTGAACGGGTCAGAACGGGTCTGAACGGGTCTGTATGAGTCCGAACGAGTCGGGTCAGTACGAGTTCAGTACTCTACGTACGGGGTATCTGGCACCGGAACCGCATGCATATACAATATAAGACTTTTCCTAACCGTAGCCGATTTGCACATAGCCGATTTGCACAAGATCCTTTTTTATTTCCTGTTAGCCACGTTCTGAGTGCTCCAAAAGGAGCCAAACGCAGACAACACAGCTCTCATGTATGGAGCGGGCGCCAGTGAGACGCCTCACTCGGTTTAATGACAATGGCAACGAAGAACAACACTTGCTTCTACGTCGGTATGCTTGCCCCTCGGCTGGAGCACCGGTATGCAGGCCCCTGGACTGGACCGCCGGTCTGCAGGCCCCTGGACTGGAGCGCCGGTCTGCAGGCCCCTGGACTGGAGCGCCGGTCTGCCTGCTCTACACAGAATGGGACGGTCCGCTCCGGCTGAAGCACACCCCCGCAGCGTCTCAAGGATGGTGTATGAAGGCTCACACACACGCACACACGCGCGCGCACCGATGACGGGGGGCGAGAGGTCCACCTGTCCGCGGCGGCCGGCCGGGTCAGCATGGGTCAGTCTTGTCAGAGGACACACCGGCCGTACATAACCCGCCGCGGGACCCCCTGAGTGGCAGCAGAACCCTGCCACGCGCGGCGGCACAGCTCGCCCGATCTCCCGCACTGGTCAGCCCGTGCGGCGCAGCACGACTCCACTAGCCACACATAACCTCCACACCGCGTCGTCGTCGCGCCATCTCGCCGCAGCCGTTGATGCCCACCTTCGCGGCCGTCCGGCCGGCCAACCCGGGGCGGCATGCCACACTAGCCGCCCATAACCCCCAGGCACGACGGCGTCATGCCACCTCGCCGCAGCTGTTGATGGTCACCTTCTCCGCCGTCTTTCCCGACTTGGAGCCGAGCCGCTCCACCTTCTTCACCACGTCCAAGCCGGCGGTCACCTTGCCGAACACGACGTGCTTGCCGTTGAGCCATTCGGTGCGGTCGGTGGTGATGAAGAACTGACTGCCGTTGGTGTTGGGCCCCGAGTTGGCCATCGCCAGACAGTACGGCTCGCAGGGCAGTGTGAAGTTCTCGTCGGCGAACTTGCCGCCGTAGATGGAGTGGCCGCCGGTGCCGTTGTTGTTGGTGAAGTCGCCGCCCTGCAGCATGAAGCCGGGGATGACGCGGTGGAAGGCGCAGCCCTTGTAGCCGAAGCCCTTCTCGTGCGTGCAGAGGCTGCGGAAGTTGTCGGCGGTGCGCGGGCAGATGTCCGAGCGGAGCGTGAGCGTGATGCGGCCCAGGACTGTGCTGCCCGCCTTCACGTCCAGGTACACCTGCAGTGGGGGCACACCAGGCGTCACGGCACACCCACACTGCACCTCACTGCACTGCACTGCACCCGCGCCGGGTACAGAGTCGCTGCTGGTACACCTGCAGTGGGGGCACACCAGGCGTCACGGTACACCCACACTGCACCTCACTGCACCCATACCGGGCACAGGGTCGCTGCTGGTACTGCCAGATTCGCCCAGTCCGAGAGCGGTGGTGTGGGGGACGGCACCGGGACCAGACCGCCGCTGGCGTTTTGGGAGAGAGCCTAACCGTTCTGAAGTATAAGAACTCACGCCAGGCTAATAAACATGGCCAGAGCACATCTTGTTTTTATGTCCAAGTAAACCAGTACAGACTGCACACATAAACCCCATGAGAGTTTTGTGTTTAGTCGCAGTTTAGCAGTTTCTTCACGATGTGGCGGTATATGTATAATACAAAAACCTCTCAGGCTGTAGACAGGCTAACGTAAGAGACTCCACTGCAGATGATTGCAGAGACCCCAGCGATGCGTCTTTTCCTTCGACCGAAGTGTTGAACACGTGCTATGAGTTTTCCGGCAGACTACACGCATCAGGTTTGTATGATCAGCTGATTGTAGTGCTGGTTCAACGCGGTTGGTTGGTCAAAAACAGCGCACGCATCTCCTGGCTCTAGTCACCAGCGTTAATTGCATGCCAGCGTTTTTTTCTCGCATTACAGGCGTTCCTAGGCCACTTTACCCGGACATCACCAACCGCGCTATGCTTGAGTCGGTTCCTTCGCAGATTTCCATCCACCCAACAGCAAATCGCAGCTCAACAGTGCCGTCCCCTACAAACCTGCCCATATCTGTTCCACCCGCCACAGCCGGCCCCCCTCCCCCGCCGCCGTGCGTCACCTGCGGCAGCTGGTCCTCCTTGGCTTCGCGCGGCGCGATCTTGGACACGACGCGGCTCTCCTCCTGCTCGCCCTGCGTCTCCGTCTCGAGCGTCTGGCCGGCGTGCGTCTGCAGCCAGGCGTCGTCGGCCCAGACGGGGCGGGACGACCCCTCCTTGATGCGCAGCGGACGCGCCAGGTTCACGCGCACGGTGCGCCCGAACAGCTCCGACTCGTGCATGTTGTCGACGGCCGCCAGCGCGTCCTCGGCCAGCTCGAACTCGACGAACGCGAAGCCGCGGTGCTTCTCCGTCTCGTAGTCCAGCGGGATCTGACCGGCGGCAGACGGGAGGTCAGCATGGTGCTATATACATATGTGTCTTTACAGAGTGTCAACTATGTTGATTATTGGAGCCTGAAGTAGAATGCTGTGGAATGCATAGTAAATGTTCATATCACTGGCTATCATAGTGCATGTTTGCAAATGTCATTTTCAATACATGAGATTGAGATTGAGTCACATCCATATATATGTGAACAACAACCACACACAAACATGCTATTATCAATAGTACCAGATGCTTGTGACACATTCGATTCTGGAACTTCAATTCAGATCAAGAAGTGTTTGGATTGTAAACCAAACTGCAAAATTCAGATCAGACAGCACAAATTTTGTCATTAAGGTGTACACCCTCCTTTGATCAGATCACAGGGGTTTTGACATGATGGTGCTGTGGGGGTGGCTATGTGTAATCATCCAACAAGAACCTCCATCTTACCTGAACAGACAACCACTAGTGACAAGCTGCAGCAGATAATCACATTGTGCTGAGCTCCCTTACCAGTTTGCAGTCCATGCTATCTAACTCTCACCTGGATGTCCTGGATGTCACCAAAGGGGATGAAGGCACCATGGATGACCTCTTCAGTGACCTCATCAGCCAGCCCACCCACATACACAGTCCGCTTCTGGGCACCAGCAGAGGTCATGGTGGCTTGCACTGGTGTGCAGAGGTGAATGCAGCAGTGGAAGGTGTGGCAGCACAAACCAGTGGTTTGACAGAGTGGCTACAAGCGCAACTGCTCAGGTTGGCAGGTCAAGGGCCTGCAGCTGAGGCTGGTGTATCAAAAAGGACAGCAGCAGTGGTACAGGTTGGTGGATGGTGTTTGGAAGATCTTTATGGATGTTGAAGTATGCTGACTGCCACAGTGATGAAGGTGTCTTTCACCTGGAAGACCAGCATTCATGTGAGGGAAAGACACAAGTGGCAGTTACATCAGAATTCACACCAATGAAAATTTTCTCCTACACAACTAATTTAACTTTCACTCATGATAATTTCAAAACAAGATGTTGGCTACCACATGTTGGAATTTCCAGAACGACTAGTTCAAAATCTTGACACTAAACCAACAAAACACGTCAAATTACACACAGCATGATAAGCTAGTCATCAGTGTATTCACTTAGCCAAATCACATCCTGATTGGCCACAGGTTTATACTGAATCACGCTGACACCAGATACAGGTCAATATGGGCATATAATAATACAAATCACAATGTGTGAAGCCATATTTCAGGAATGCAAACTGTGAATCACATGCTTAGATTAATACATAAAAGAGCGAAATTTACATTAAAGCAAACCAAATGAGCATCATCTCAGCGCCCAAAATGCAATTGCCACGCTGCACTCATTGATGACTTAAATGACAAAACGTTACAAGGCAGTGGCTTCCTTCGAATGGATTACTTTCGACATATAATTCGACCAACAGCACACACATATAGCCTATTCTTATTATATTGCAGCTACACCATTGAAAGCTTTCACACTGTGCAAACGAAATGTCACACTTTCGCCGCTAAAAACATACCATACCTGAGAGCCCTGCTCTATTACCGGAGCCTTCCGATTGATTCGCATCTCCCCATCTTATTCACAGTGATATCCGACGACGCCATCATTTGTTTCAAATGCGCGAGATATGTAGCTAATAATTTTCCAGGAACTCTTATGTATGCATTGACGTATTTGAGAGTGCCTCGAATGAATGCGATCAGTAATTGATAAAGGCTAATGAACTGTATATTTGATAAAAATTTACGTGTCTTTTTGGTCAATTCTGCAATTTAACCTCTATCTGGCACCTTATCAATCAACAACTCAACAACTATAATATTCCACGACACGAAGCCTGCAACAGCTGACGGTAATAGACGAACTCAGCGCCTGTAAACATACAGGCCCCTTGCATTGGCAGCATTGGTGTCGCCGCTTTGCTGTGCAGTGGGCGTGCCGTGACTGACTCTGGTGCGGCAGGCATGCTTGTATCGCCGTGTCGGTGGACTGAGTCGTTTTCTGCACGCATCGCTTCTGTTTGATAAGATGGTTGCGTCATACTTTTTACAGTGTGTGAGGTGCGTGTGAGCTAGCTTGATTTTCACTTCGAGTCAACGACGGGCCCCGCTGTTCCTGTGCAAGTGCAATAGTTTCAGAGACAAGAAAATGGTAAAAGACGAAAACGAATCTGTGATGAGTGATGGGAAATCCATCTGTAAAGCGTTTGTGGCAGGAGGTAAGTCTGTTAAGGAGCATTTTAGCCTTGATGAATATGCCTTTCATCAACTATCTAAATCGGCAAACCATAGCAAGGATTTTAACATTTTTGTGGCAGATCAAATCACACCCCAAACAGGTCAGCAGTTCGCACCATTGGTGGCAGAAGATCAGTCTGTTGTGGGGAGCCTCTATTCAATAAATTTGAGGAAGTTGAGGAGCCCCCCCCCCCACCTGATTTCATTGCTGCCTTAGCCTTGCCCCAATATGATGTCAGGATGTTGCATGCTTTACAACTTAAACAATCAAGTCAGTACTGTTTTGTAACTTCCTGGTGGCATGCAACTGTGTTCACAGGCGACTGGTAAATTGTGCACCGCAAACAGAAGCATTCCTCGGCCATTCTTGTCATCCAGAGGTCATAATACATCTCATAGATTTGGTTTGCCATTGTCCAACATGATTTAAGAAAGCTTTAGTATACATGATGACCCATGGATCATATTTACTTTCATGCCGGGATTGGACCACATCAGTGTGTGAAAGAGGCTAATGGTAACTATGTTTCTGTATCACATAAGATTTGGGTCAATTTAGTCATGTTTTCACACCTCATTGAACTGAGTGAGAGTGAGGCATCACAAGCAATGCCAAGCTCCACCCATGCTCAGAGCTTGCTGCCATCCCTGACCTTCAGACATGTCCTGAGCCCACAATGGGGAATTATCCAGTTCAGAACTCAAGTGTCATTTCTTTTATACTGCTATTTTCTCCTCAGGTGTGGCTGGCATATGTACCAAAACAACAGTGGCACCATTGGACAGCGCTTGTTTTACAGCTGCTCTTTTCTCCTCAGGTGTGGCTGGCATGTGTGCCAAAACAACAGTGGCACCACTGGACAGGATAAAAATCCTTCTCCAAGCCCACAACAAACATTATAAACACCATGGTAAGTTTAAATCTCCATAAGTGAAATATTTTATGCATGCTGAGTCTTGACATAAGTGTGCTAGCACCATGCATCAGTTCACATTCATTACTTGTTTTGTTCTTAAAAGATGATCCAGTGGCCAAACAGGTTCTGAAGAGACTCTGGATGTGGCTGCATGAATTGGTAGCAACAAATATGACTTAAAGATATGTGGTTAGGAGTGCAGGCAGGGGAACAGTAAATTAGCTGCCAGGTGTTCTCTCCAGGACCATAATTGAAGCCAATGCTGTGGCTTTGAGGTAAAGAATGGAGGCAGGCTTGATGACTTTGGTTTAATTTAGTACATAGAAGACAAAGTCGGCAGATTAAAAGTTATGAAACGTGAAGCAAAAGCTGAATTCATGATGTGAAATAATGGCAAATCTGATGCCGAGAATCTGAATTTTTCAGTCTCAATGTTGTGAGAATTTAAAACTATTTTATGTCAGCTTTTACAGTGGGTATGCTAATTTTTTATCAGGGTTTCATGGAATGGCTAAAGCAAGGCTGCTAGCCTTACAGATCAATGATTTTTTGTTTGTCATCATCTGGTGTTTTAGTACACACAAACATTTTGGACAGTTCATTGTCTGGCTGTTGTCAGGCATTCAAAAGCCATAGGGATGACTGGATAGTTTTGGCATCCAACCATGCACATTTCCGAGCCCCAAAAAGTGGATGTGTCATGGTGACAAAATGAGGAAGCACGTTTTTGGGAAGGTAAGTCACGACTTCAGTGAAAAAAGCCATCTTCACAAAACTGAAGCCTGAGTCATTCAGAAATTGTTCAAAGCCAGAGCCAAAACCATAATTTAACATGGAATAAAGCCACTGCCCAGTTTACTTAGTTTAAATGGCCTGGGCCCAATGTCAAAGCCAAAGCAAGCCGTGAAAATGGTCCGAAGCTGAAACGGAAACACGAAGCCACTAGAGGAAGCCGGCGGCGGCGCAAAGCCAAAGCCAAAGCCGGCTTTATTCCCATGCTGGGTGGACAGCTGGATGCGTATCCTGTGTCTTTGTTGACAGTTGTGTTTGGCAAGCCGTTTTTCCTTAACAGCCGTGTATAGTGCCCTATGTATTCATGGGCGGCTGTGGTCAACATCACCTGTCTGTTTTGACAGCTGACACGGTAGTGATGCATGATGTGTGGCATGATGTGATGTAGCGTCATGTATCTGTGCTGATAACGGGGTGCAGTTGTATTTTCAGTTCAAGACTGCAGCTTCCTCCCCCCCTCCCCCCACACCTAAGTTGTCTCCTGCCCTCCCCTGACTTTCAGCAGAAAGCGGGCTAAGTCCGGGGAGACACAGGCTTGTTGGCTTGTTTGTGGGGGGGGGGGGGGGGGGTCACATGGTACTGTTCAGCCTCAACCTCTCTAACTCTGTTGCAAAACTGCGTCCCTGCTTGCGAGTGTGTCAACACCCTTTTTCATAAACAGCTGCATTCTGCACCCTCATTTAACTGGCAGCTATGTTCGGCACCCCTGTTCTTTACTGGCATGTATGTGCAGCACGCGTCCTCCGTGTTAACAACCATTTCCAGTAGCCCATGTCTGTGTTGACGGGCGTGTTCAGTACAGTGGCGGCGTAACCGGAGTATGCGTGAACAGGCATGTTCAGTACGCCCTGTCTGTGTTGACAGGCGTGTTCAGCGGCCTGTTGAACATCGTGCGCCAGGAGCGGTTCCTGGCGCTGTACAAGGGCAACGGTGCCCAGATGGTGCGCGTGTTTCCGTACGCCGCCACGCAGTTCACCTCCTTCGAGATCTACAAACAGGTGCGTGCGTGCGTGCGTGCGTGCAAAGGCATCAGTGCTGCGTAGAATGTAACAAGACCAACGAGTTGGCCGCCACTCCGGCGGTGTCGTCAGCTGTGTAGAAAAACCGCGCCACACCCGGACTGGGCTGTCTGGACTATGGCGTGGCCGGCCGGACGCGCGATCTGGCGTGTCCGCCAGACTTGCTGCCGTTGCGGAGCTGGTTCACGTTGCGTAGGTGTCTGGTGGTCCGTCCAGGTCACGTCATGCTCCCAGCAGGCGGCCTGTGTGTGGTACGGCAGAATCTCATCTGCCCTGAGCACGGTGTGTGTGTGTGTGCCCATCGCCGTAAACGAAGCGCTGGGGGCTCTGATCGCACTCATCGCTGAGCATCACTGAGGGCTCTGATCACATCCATCACTGGGGACTCTGATCACATCCATCGCTGAGGGCTCGGATCACATCCATCGCTGAGGGCTCGGATCAGATCCATCGCTGAAGGCTCTGATCACATCCATCACTGAGGGCTCTGACCACATCCATCACTGAGGGCTCTGATCACATCCATCGATGGGGGCTCGGATCAGATCCATCGCTGAGGGCTCTGATCACATCCATCGCTGAGGGCTCGGATCACATCCATCGCTGAAGGCTCTGATCACATCCATCGATGAGGGCTCGGATCAGATCCATCGCTGAGGGCTCTGATCACATCCGTCGCTGAGGGCTCGGATCGTATCCATCGCTGAGGGCTCGGATCACATCCATCGCTGAGGGCTCTGATCGCATCCATCGCTGAGCATCACGGAGGGTTCTGACCACATTGATCGCTGGGAGCTCTGACCACAGCCACCGCTGAGCGCACGCGGTTGACGCCTTCTACCGCACTGACTCATTGCCCACCAGCATGGGAAGACATGGGAAAGGAAGACGGGGAGAGGCAGGGGAAGACGCTGAAGTGGGTCGGCTCGGCCGCTCCTCCTGTGACACCAACACCTGGTGCACAGGTACACAACTGCAGCCGCGCGGGCGTCGGTCGCGGCCGGTCGGTCCACAGCGGCCGGGAAACGGTCGATGGACTTTGGTCGTCGGGCCGAAATGCACGGCCTCGCGCTGGGCCGGTAATGTGGACACGTTTCATCGTATCTAAACGATTACTGAGCCCTCCTGCAACATGAGCGGGCACTTGTCCTCGCGCTTGGGAGGCGCGTGACGACACGTGGTCCGTGACGGGTGACGAGCTCGGATCGAGCGGAACAGCGTCACCGCCCGAGGGTGCCGAGCGCCTCCTGCCCGCGCTCTGATGCCGACGGCTGGCCGACTTCGGCTAGCCGCCTGAACCGGGCCCGCCGCTCCACCCACCGCCGCCCTCCGGTCCAGATCTGCCCTGACCCCGGCCCGCCGCTCCACCCGCCGCCGCCCTCCGGTCGG